TCATGTTATGGGTATTTTTATACAAAGGAAATTTTTTTGTGCCTGTTGAAAATTAAAGTTTACTGACATAGCCATAAAAAAATGTTGCTTTATTTATCTGACCGTATTGGAATGTATTTGTTCGGTTTTCGGTCAATTAAATTTGGTTCAATAAACAATATGTGGTTATTTTTAAAATTTTCAATGAACATTCGATCAGTCCGGCCCTCGGCTTGCAGCAAAAATTTTTATCTGGCCCTCCGTCCATTTGACTTTGACACCCCTGGCCTTAATGAACTTGAATGTATTGGTTGAAAATTTGGCAAAATAGCAGCAGAGAAACCTGCCTAGGCCATCACACAAACTCGTGAATCAGCAGTGGTGTTATTCCATGAGCCGGACCAGGATATATGGGTGGGCAATTCCGGCTTTGGAAGCCCCATCATCTGGGCCGTAGGCCAAATAATGAGAAAATTTACAATCACCCATGGAGTTTATTAGCTCTGTTTCCAAGGGAGACCATTAGCTCCTCCTACAATGACCTCCAGGAATGTCCCAAAGCCCCGGAGCCCCTGTTGGTGGGAAATGATCATTCCCTCCACTCAGCAAATGTGAGAGTAAAATCTCAATTTGAGCTCTTTTTATACCATATTGTCATAAATGAAAGGAAGTTTAAAATGTGAGGGCGTTTTAAGCGGTGAAGCATGACAGTGGGGCAGCATTGTGTCAGTAATGCAGCAGTCTAGGCAAGCTGTGCATCCATGGGTGAGCTGAGCATGGCTGATCCAAGAGATGTTCGTTTCATGCACACGCATGAGTGCACACACACGTGATTCTGGCTGGTTGTTTGACTAAAAGTGGATGAGGGGCCACTCAATTCAGGATTAGCCCTCAAACTCACTATTGAAACATTCTGATAAGCACCACAGACTTTCAGGGTGTGGGGGGTCATTATCATTAATAAAAATGCTCTCATAAGCATGACTGAATTTCTCAGCTAAAAACTCGTAAAATGAGCTCATACAAACTCCCAAAACAAGCTCGTGTAGAAATTTGAATGATGCGTACAAGTGCATTTTAGAATGACGTGTGATAGGATTTCAGAATCATTTTAGCGCATCTTAGTGAATTGTGTGAGTGCATTTCAACACGGTGTGTGAACAAATTAGACCTGCGTCCAGGCAAGCCACATCAAATATGTGTATGAGAGGCTTATTGTAAAGTAACTCCTTTCTTTGCTTTTTCAAAGTAAAACATGGCGGTTGTCCAATAGTCGTGAAGCAGCCTGAGTGAAGCAATAACATTACTCGGTACTGTATAATTTAAATATAATGACAAGAGATGATAATACTCGTTGATTATTGTTGTATATTAAGGATTTTCCTCATGAAATTAATATGTACTCATGATTTTAATTTGTAAATGAGTATTTGGTCAGCGAATAGGAAGCCTGTGGTGTTCTGTGCACCCATTTACAGGAAGCCAACGCGTTTTATGGGCGCACAAGCTCTCTTGAAGAGAGGCAGGTCAAAATGTGCTCCGTGATTGTCCGGGGAGAAGTGGCAGAGTGACGTCAATATTGCAGGCAGTGGGTCGTCATGAGAGTGTGTCAAATTTGTATACCAGCTTGTTTAATTAGTGTGAATGACAACCATGGGCGTCATTAGGCCTATTTTAGGGAGGCTTCAGCCTCCCTAAAATTGTCTTTCAGCCCCCTAAATAATTTCATTGCATTATTTAAAAAAATAGTATTATTTATTTTTCCTGTACTTTTGCTAATATACTGCATCAAATTCAATGTAATGTGGCCATTTTAAATTATATTTCGATAACCTGTCATTATTGTAATGTTAAATCTCCCAGGTTTCCTGAACGCAACAGGTGTTGCGTTAGCATTTGACGTGTCTGTCACCATCGCCACATCAAATGCTAACGCAACAACTGACAGTTCATTGCCGAAAGTCAGGTTGAGTCGACAGCATGGATATTCGACAGTTTTTTAGAAAGGTAAATTAAGTATTCAATGCATCCATGCTGGTAAAACTAGTGACTATAGTCCGCTAAAATATCTCCAGTAACAGCAGAAACTGCACTGTAACAAAGTGTTCACTTTTGGATAAATTAAGGTGGTGCTTAATAAAAATTAAGCAACATTTTATAATTAAATACATAAATAATCATTACACCAACTCTTTGAGGCAACACCTATTGAGATTTTGGCCTATATAAAATAAATAAATAAATATAAAATAAATACATTTATTTATTTGAAAGGAATCAGGCCAAAGAATCACAGAGAGTGAGCCGGGGGTGAGCTCTGCTGGACAGGTGAGTCTCTCAGATCTCAAGGCTAATTTTACTTGCAAGGCTGTTCCCAAAATGTAATCGGAGCTTACAGTAAGTATTGAGCAGCAAACTTGTGTTTTTCCAAAGTGATGAAGCTTTTGCATCTCATTGTACTAACTTAAATTGCATATCACGGCAGACATCTCAAAATACATAGTCTTCTGGGGGCTAAGCATATATTAATACATTTTGGTAGAGAGGAATATAGGCCTACTGTCATATAGGTTATGTTATCGGGCATCCTTCTAATTCCCTTGAACAACCAAGATTGAACTTTTGAACTCTTTATAATTTCTATTATCTAGTCCAGTTAAAGTCCAGGGGAGGAAGCCCCATCATAGTAAAGAGGATACTAATGTGATGTGTGTAGTTCTTCATAGCCTCTTCATTTTGCTCTCAAAGTGCACGGAATTGATGGATTTTTAACAGAATGTAGAAAAAAATTCTCCCGGGGGGGCATGCCCCCGGACCCCCCTAAAGGGGCTGTATTCCCCTTGGGGCTAAGCCCCCCTTGTACTTGAAACCTAGTGACGCCCCTGATGACAACAATTTACTACTGCTCATGACAATGGTTTACTAGTCTTGCGGACATTTCAGTAGTGTCTATGAGAGCAAGAAATTAATCTGTGTGTATGATAGCATTTCAGTCATGGGCTTGAAAGCGTTTCAGTTTTGTATATGAGAGCATTTCCCTAATGTTTATGAGCAAGAAAATAAATAAATGAACTTCAGCAGCGTTTATAAGAAAGTTTCAGTCGTGTGATTGAGGGCATTTCAGGAGTAAGTGTGAGAGCTCATCCTGATATGCTTCAAATCGCCCCACACTGGCCGGATATTACAAACACCACTACGCTAAAGGATCTGAATTTATATTGCTTCATTACAGTAATAAAATATATATTTAAGGACTCATCTTTCACAAATAAAAATAGATACTTAATAAACGTGGATGAGTTCAGGCTGTTTTAAAATAAAATATAAGAACATCGTTTTAGTGGATGGGTTCACAACGGTATCATAGCAATGATTTTTCATATTTCAGTTTTCACATGAAGTTTACGGAAAACATAATAATCAATTTTCTCAATGATATTTAATGGTACTTAATAAAATTAATTAGAACAAGTACCTGCTACTCATGTCATAAGTCAGAATAGCTCAGTATGCTCCATTTAGGTGTAAGAAAGAGGACCCTTAGTTTGCTACATCGTACAAAAAGGATTCAAATTAAGCATATCAATTTAACTCACTCAAAAGGTATCTGCGTACGCATGCAATTGATGTTAATAATCACAATTCCACAGTTGTGTTTTTGTATGTGGTTATCGTATTTTCAGTGGCTAACTAGATATTGCTGGTCTTTGCGTTTAACAAAAACTATTTTCAATTGGTCTTTGAGTTAAGTTAGACGTCTACGAAAAAAAAAATTAAAGGGTAGAGCTGTTGAGCAATAAACTGCTATAAGCCTGCTATGTACTAAGTTTGCGTACACGTGTTCGTTGTCACGGTGGACGTCTAACCTGTGTCGATGGCTGACCCGTGTAGACTCAAAAAGCAGAGTGGGAGTAGCAGCGTGACCAGGCGCCCACAGGGCACGTCCGCATGAATCTCCATCATCCAGGCTGGCCGCGTCAATGAGGACTTGACTCACAGAGGAGAGATCAGCGCCATTCTCGACCCGACGTGAAATGATCCCAGCGTGGAATTAAGTTGGCAGGAGGATTTTATCTAGTACTATGGAAAGGCCATTATGCACACGTAGTTTGTGTGTGCGTGCGTGCGTGCGTGTGTGTGTGTGTGTGTGTGTGTGTGTTAATCCCACATCTCGCCCCCACCTACGGTCTCGGACATCTCCACGACAACAGACAACTAATCAGCTGTCAAGGCAGCAGAGTGTGTATGTGTGTGTGTGTGTGTGTGTGTGTGTGTGTGGGGGGGGGGGGGCAAACAACAAAGGGGCTCGCGAGAAGTTTAAAAGAAAGCGAATAAACTTCCGTGAACAAATGTCCTTTTATGAAATTACGTAAGATATTAATATGTCATGCATGTACGCAAATGTAATTAAAACCCATCAATAATCTAAGTTTAGAAGTGTAGAATTGGTTCCCTGAATGAACATTTTATATGTCCGATAGATTTCAAGTGATTTGCTATTGGCTGCTCAGCTAGCTGTTCCATGGCCAGGCGGGTGATGTGACTGCTGACAACAGGGACGGCTCCAGGAGGTTTTATTTTCTCTCCTGGGGCTAGAGGAGGGCTAGAACGATACAGAAGGTGGCTAAGAAAATACCTTGAAAAAATATTTTCAAATATCAAATAAAATGCTGGAGTGGCTAAATTGGGGCTAGACAGATTTCTGCCTGAGCTATAGACGAGTCCCGGAGTAGCGCCATCTCTGACAATGTAGCAACATTGATTCCAAAGTGTTTCAGTCAAATTTATCTGTTCATATTCAGCCAAATGCTTCAGAACTTATTTGATGGCACTTCACTGCGCAGGTGGCCAATGATCCGAAGCTTATGGCGAAAGCAACCAAATAGTTTTTTAAGGTATAGACACGGAATTATCAATCAATCAATCAAATGTTATTTAAATAGGACTTTCAGACATAAAAATGCAACTCAAAGTGCTGTGCAATTAAAACATCCAAAATACAACATAAAAAGAGGACCGTCCCACTTCCCCAAACATGCAGATACATATCACCACAAGCATGCCCATGCTTACACACACACACACACACACACACACACACACACGCAAACATAACCTGATAAACTATATTAAAACATGGCACGGAGAAACCAGATGAAGAAAAGAGCACCCAAAGGGAGCTCATCCACGCAGCCAAGAATGACACCTCCCAGTGTGAAGGCCCTCATTAGGAAACATTGGCACTAAAAAATAATTAAAATAAGTTTTGAAGTAAGTTATCCAAAAGTCAAACTAATAAGATGTGCCATAAGCTTCCTCGAAAAAACATCAACCTTTTCTACAGACCTGATGTCCTTTGGCTGGCTATTCCCTAGCTGGCCAAAATGGCTGAATGAAGCCTCACCATGTGTTCTGGTTCTCACCCGAGGAATAATTAAAAGGCCAGTGCCAAAGGACGTCAGGATGCACGAGGGTTGATAGGATAAAAGCAGGTCGGATAAATAAGATGGCCTAAGAACGTTTAGACCAGGGGTGTCAAACGTACGGCCCGCGGGCCGGATCCGGCCCGCAAAGGACTTTAATCCGGCCCGCGAGATGATTATGTAAAGCAGTGGTGTCAAACATACGGTCCGCGGGCCGTTCAATCAGGCCCCACAGGATAATTTAAAAGTGAAGAAAATGCATAAAAGACACAGAATAAATATTTTTAATAAGGTGCAATTCATTGAGTATCCGCTAGGGGACACTGTTTTGATCAGAGAAGAAGACAACAGCAGCCTCAGTCCATCACTGAGACAGACCCATGACAGCAGACGCTATCAATAGCACTCTCACATTTACACATTTAATAGCACGCCCCTTAGTTTGTAAGGTGTAGGCAGGGATTACATTTAGATTTTATATGCACGTGTAAATGGTTTAAAACTTCCTTTCTTTATAAATCTCGTTTAATCTTAAAGTGCATTACTATATTTTTCAAAACCAATTACTTGTTAAAGTTTGTACAATCAGTGGGATCAGTTGCAATGCATATATGTGAATGATAAAAGTAAATTGCACATTTGTCGAAGGAAATGTAAGGTGCTTCACGAAATGTTTTGTAAAAGATATGTTCATTTAATTTCAACATTTTCCTAATGTTCTTGTGCTTCTTTATACCAAAACAAAGGAAAGACATATTGTTTTGGTTATTTCTAGCAAAGTATGGTATCATTTTAATGGTCCGGCCCACTTGACATCTACCCAGGCCGTATGTGGCCCACCATGTGAAATGAGTTTGACACCCCTGGTTTAGACATTCAAAAACGAATAAAATCACCTTAAAATCAATCCTGAAACACACGGGGAGCTAATACAGCAATTTTAAAACTGGTGTAACGGAATCCCACCCTCTAGTCCTTGTCAGGACTCGTGTGGCTGAGTTCTGGAGTAACTCTCACCTTGAAATACTCTTTTTAGGAAGACCAGAAAGCAGGGCATTGCAATTAACTAAGCAACAGGAAATAAAAGCATGCTCCAGAACTTCTGTGTTAGCTTGAGAGAGAAAAAGGCGGACTGTGGCTGTGTTGGGGAGATGATAAAAAACAATCTTAGTTACATTACATTTGATACATTTGCAAAATGAAAAGAGAATCTTTTTTTCCAGGTTGTCATTGTGGGGAATCCTGTAAAAGTCAGAGGAGAATCGGTCATGTCTCGAGCCCTGAGCAATTGTGATGTCATTTTGAGCCGACATCAGGTGGCCAAGTAAAGGTGGATTTCGCTGCTGAATTAATACTCCACAAATAGAATATAAATCAGAATACTATGTTTCGACTAATGGGGCTGCATAGAACATATTGCAAAGAAAATTTTACGGTTGACTTCCCCTTTAATTCATGTACCGGTATTTATTTATTTGATGGGGTCGGGGTAAAATGTATGCCATTTGATAAAAGAATATTCCTGAATATTATTCTGATGCATGGACAAAAACCATGACAATGACCAAAATAGTGTGTCCGTGTGATATTATTTTGTGTTCACTTCAGGCATTTGGAAATTCCAGTTTGTTAAGACATTTAATACACCCATGGCAACAATAAAAACTTTCCACATATTTAAAGGGAAGGAGTGCATCTTTGAATGAAGGAAATCATATTACAAAGTCACAATTCTCTTGCCTTTATGGCAATTGAATTGAAATATATCCATGTAGAATTCACATATTTTGGATCTACTGTACATAAACATAAATCGTTTTGCCTAAACTTCTCTCATGTAAACAGAATTTATGAAGAGGTTAAAAATGATTTTGTGTCATTTTTGGCGTGACAGGCTGCAAAACAAATAAAACACTCGACAACTACATGTCAACATTGACGCAGCAAATTCACTAAAAACATTTGTTCAAATCCTTTCTACAAAGAAGTATAGTTTTGCTTTTGTAGATTGTTGCTGCACAGTGAAAAACACGTATGTCCATTTTACTCGTAAAAATTTTTACATTGGAGTGTCGACGTTTCAGACGTCCCATCCATCCATCCATCCATCCATTGTCCAAACTGCTTCAGAGGATCGGGACGCCCTGGAGCCCATCCCAGCTGTCATCAGGCAGCAGGCAGGGCACACTCCGAATTGGTTACCAGCAGGACACACAAAGACAAATATTTGCGCTCACAATCACACGTAGGGACAATTTAGAGTCTTCAATTAACCTACCGTGCATGTTTTTGGAATGTGGAAGGAAACCAGGGTACCCAGAGAAAACCCATGCAGGCATGGGGAGAACTCCAAACAGGAAGGCCGGAGACAGAATCGAACCCTGCACCTCTGCAATGTGAGGCTGAGCCGCCCTTCGGATTTCCCGTTAAGATAAAAGTTACAAAAAAAAGATATTTAAAAATGGACATACAGTACGTGTTTTTCACAAGACTGCAACAATATGTTTTCATGTTTCAAGTGACTAAAAGGTACCAATTTCACTAACTTGTACTACAGTGTTAATTTCACAAGTGTGCACATAGTGACTGTCATCATTTTTTTGGGGTTGTTGTTTGGGTTCATTGATTGTTGCAATCAGTTGCAAAGACGTTCATCAGACATTCCCAAACAATTTTAATGGTCGCAAACAGCTTTTCTTGACGGCATCAAATTTTGAACCTGTCCAAAATTTCTTTGCAAAACGAAAAACTGAGACCATGAAAATTGTTGCCGAATGTTTTTGTGACCGTTTGTGACCTTGAACAAACTCTTAAAAAAAAAAAAAAAAACATTTCGAAACACACACATTCTTACAAACCTTCGCTGCTCAATGAGGTACCACCTTAGCATTGCAAAGAATAATGCTAATGCCAACACTTGTGGACACCTTGATTAATTTTTCAGCAATATAAAATGACTTTCCCTAGCACACCTGATCAGCTAAGTTGTAATAACGTTGACGACTGGATGACAAACAAATCACTTAGTAGTACTTCCACCCGTTCATCTCCATCACAGAATAAGAACATTGAAATAATGCCAGCCTTTATTTCTTTTTCGGGCATTTTACAGTCACTCAAGTTAATGGAAACTCTTCGAACACAGAAAAGAGGCAGGGTTTATTACATAATTACCATGAACGGGCACACTCACATGCAAAACAAAACAAAAGAAAAACATGTCACAGTCCAACAGATGAAAAATCCATTGTGATTAAATTTTGTGCCAGCCATTTTTAGACTTTTCTTTACCATACCATATGAAAAAAAATCCACGTGCAAGACGTACCTGGGATTAAATGCCTCAATTCTTTAAAAAAATGGGAAAAAAAACGTCCTTGAATGAGTTAAAATGGTAAATGGAGTGCACTACAAATCAGCATATCTACATCATACAGTGTCTACTCAAGTAACATTCCAAACCCCTACACACGTTATGTATTTTCCAACTTAATCTATTCAACTGTTCAGTGCAGCGTGAGTAGACTGTTGGCTGCCTACCTCTGTTATCACTCTTAAAATGCCAAAAACTTCAAAGTTTAAAATGGCTTAATGTAACCAGTATCCGACTTGACATTTTGGCCAAGGTTTTAATCCAATCTAAATCGGTCGCATTCCTGCTATAAATGGATCCATGATCAGTCAGGACGAACGCAATCTCGTTGTCGTTCTTCTTCTCCTCTCCTCGTTCTCTTAGTTTATTGTCGGATTACAGCTTTTTGGTGCATACCGCCACTTACTGTGCAGACGGCGCATATTTCTGTCAGTGGTCAGCAAAACGGGCGTCCGTCAGTGCTTACAAATGCGTCTGGTGAGTTGGACAAGCGGCTGTTGTGATGGATGGTGGACTCGTCATGCAGAGGAGACGCACTGGGTTTGTTTGGCTCCTTCAACAAAGCAGAGTGAACTGCTCTGGTTCAATTAAAAAAAACATAAAAAAAGGACAGTTTGTCCATATTTATATTGCATATTTGTCATAACTGGTTAGTTAGGACGTACGCCGTACCATCTTTTAAATTGGCTCATCTCTACTCTAGATGACTACTACTGTTTACTTCATTCAACTGCGTACAAGAGTGGGCTCCTTCAAAAGGCGTTCACATCGGCCGAGCAAGTGTTTATATCCTTACATGTAAGCAAAAAAAGTACAGACATGGCTTCTTTAGCAGTTTGGGTGACTTCTGTACCTTTTGTAATCATAAAAAGGCGATGTTTGTACCTCTGGGTTCAATTGTACAAGTTAGATTACAAAAAGTTGTACTATGAAGACCAAAAATGGATGCCTACATTACCCTTTTTTTCTGGCACCGATGATGCAAAGGCAGGTCAGCCATGATAGCCTCAACTCTTGGAGGAAACACAGCGTAAAAGAAACAGCTGGAGACCAAACTTACTCTGGACATAAATTATTAACATCAATAGACAAGACACGGTCCAACCACGAACGAGTTAAGAGAATTCTCAAAGAACAATTTAAAATCTAGTCTGTGGAGAACAGCATGACAAAATGTTGATCAAACAAATGTTTTGCCAAAACAGCAGAATTATAGTTCATATTAACAGCACCGATGGATGAAATAAAATGACACCAAACAAGGTATTTTCATTTGTGCTCAGTGAATACTCGATCTGAAATGATGAGGTTAATGTGCCATGATAAACAGGCTGCAGTTGAACTGCATATTTTTTAACAGAGGAGAAATGCTACATGTCCAGATCTATGTGAATTACCTTTTAGTTACTTCTGGCTTGTTTTTCCCCCAACCATTTTTCATCATGTATTTTGTGAAATTGCACTGTCCTCTTTCAAATAAAATAATCACATTGTGGTTGATCATTGCACCTTAAGATGTTGTAAATCCTAGTGGCGCACGGAAGCCGCATGCTAAACTAGCGATACGTCCCCACATTTATTGGCATGACTACTGTTTTTCTGATTATTCAGTCATTTCTTCTTCTACTTTCTTTTGGCAGTTGGCAAATATTTTTGGTGCATTACGGCTGGTGTAAACAAGGCTGTGGTATTGCACCAAAGTCAACACAATAAGGGAACGGGGGATTGTGGGTGCCAGTCCGAGCTGTCATTTGTAAATATATGTGCAAATCAAAACTGAGTATAAGTCGCCCGACCAGCCAAACTATCTATCGGTTTGGGTGTTAATTCGAGTCCGAAAAATACGGTACTACACTGTGACACTCATTCCAAGTAGCACTATTATTCTCACTAACAATTTATAGTTTGACATAAAAATATTTGAGTGTTCGCTTCAAACTCGATTACAGAATAGCAAGAGAACAAAGACAAGCTCAAAAACAATAGGAAGTGTATTGATGTAGATGTACTTCATGCACTGTAAAAAACGGAACAAATCTTAAAATGTATACTTCAAGGTCGGGGGACAACAACCTTGCAAACATTGCTGACCCTGAGTTTCGGTTGTCATCGAGACCAAGATGTTGCTGGCTCAGAATGAACGTGTTTAGAGTTAATCAACCAAAGCAAAACATGTCCTTGGTGGCCTGCTTGAGATTATACTCTGTGTGTATCGTTTGCCATATGCAGCTTTTTGTGTATTGGTTAAAAAAAAAAAAAAAAAAAAACATACAAAAAAAGTAAAGCCTTGCATATTCCTCCTTTCGGTAGATTCAAGAAAACGAGGCAACCCAAGCTACACACCTGTACATACATCAGCAGGTTTAGAATCTGGTCTAATGAGTCCCATTGATGATGTGCTTGTGCAGCAGCTCCTCTTTGTGGTTATGCGTGGTCGGCGTCATCTCTTCTTCCCGCAGTCTGGCATTCTTACGGATTTCTTCCAGGGAGTAATTCTGCAGAAGGCATCCATTCTCAAACACAGTCACCAGTAGATCCTGAAAGGACACAGAAAACATGAAACATTGAGATCAGCCGCACTCGAAAGCCTACAATAAAAATTACGTTGGGGAGTTAAAATGTTCTAATAAATACACCACCAAGATGCGACCTGCATTGTAGTTCCTCTCCCCATAAATTCTAAAACCATTTGGATTGTGGACATAATTTGGACTAATCACACTAATATGACACACAAGAACAAAATGGATGCCTGTTGAAATTTTGAGAGAACCTGCTGCTTTGTTGTATAAAATAGCGGCATCTTAATGAAGACCATAATATTTAGCTTATGTTGAAGCTCAACTTTTGTAATGTCATAAGTGCAATAGGCAAATACATTTAGAGTTACTTTATTGAGCTACATGAGAAGAATTTGCAAGACAGTAATTGAAATACCTTGACTATAAGTTAGGACAGTTTTACGTAACGGCAAACAATAACCACCATCTAATATGGATTGTATACACACTACCTGTCTGACAATGTAAATTCAAACCGAGCGTGACAGTAAAGGGACTGCTGTAAATAGCAAAAAGCCAAGAGTAACTGAGATGCCACGAGACAGTGACAAAGCACTACCAATGTCTAAGTGAAACACCTCGAAACAACTCAACATTACAGTACTTACTCGCCACCAGCTTGTTCAAAAAAATACAGCTAAAACAGCAAATAGAAGAGTTTTTCAACAAAAGAGGAGAGGTTCCCCCCCCCAAAAAATGAATACAATTCAGTGAATTTGTGAAAGTTGAACAGCAAATATAAGGGGATCACTGGAATTGCAGAGTTGTTGATATACAGTATGATGATATCACAAACATCATTATAAGATCGGTCTCACCTCCTCAGGTTTGCCGGCTCCCCTTTCTACAGTCTCGAAGAGCCCATCAGAGTTCCTTCTCAGTGATAGACGACCCCTCTTTGACACCTTAGATGGATCCGTCACTGGCTGCTTGTATACGTCCATCTGGAAGAGATACACACAGGGAGGGAAGAGATATTATTGCGGGAAAACAGATGTCAGCGCAAAACCGCCCCCTGTTGTTATATATATACAAATATGTTCACTTCGAAAAAAAAAAAAAATCTGAAAAATGTCCAGCAGAGTGTACATCAGTAATATGCATCGAGTTCATGATTGTCCTCCCTACTCTTATCCCAAACAGTTTTTCATACACAAGTTGGATTCAAAATTTGAGGCATGGAAGTACCTTCCATGAATGACTTTGTGATGTAATAAATGTACCACTTTGCTGAAGAAGCATTACACGTGGAAAAATTAAATTTTTTTGTTGTTGTTGTTTAGTTACATTCTTATGCTTATGAAAAGTAGGTTTATTTTTATGCGAACCAGTCCAGTCCAATTCAATCCATAAAGCCAACCCATATCATATCTCCTCAACTTCACTTTGCGCGACATGCTAGTAGCATAGGCTAGCGGGTGCCCATATTTTGTCATACCACAACCACAACAACGTCTTGCTTCCGTGTCTAAGAATCATGGGAAATGTCGTCCTCCAGGCAGACTGCTGCGGGAAGACCAGCCCAATCTGAGCTTTCTGATTTTGCTGTGTTTCTATTTGACAACTGTTTGGAATACAAGTCTTGATAATGATAAACACCCCATACTACACTTAATGTACAAAAGGTGCTCAACAAATGAAGCTTGATTTAATTCATGCAACACTTGACACACACATTTTTATGTTCCCTACTTTTAAACATGGTCATGATATTGAAAATGACAAAAACTGTTTTCATGTGGCTATCTCTCATCAGACTCTGAAGTGAATTTTCCTTTATGGTCCTATAAAGGGTCAACCGTATTGCATTTATTTTAGGCTCCGCTCAATCAGAATAAATGTGTCAAGACTTCTTGAATTTTAGTAACATTTTCAAGAATTACAAGTTCATCATCACATTAGTTGCTACAACTGTGCAAACCCATTACCTCAATTCTACTCACCCCTTTGCCGTTGGTCTCCACATAGCTGCACTTGAAGGCACAACTGAGTGTGTCTCGGTTGAGCTTCTGGAGCAAAGAACTGCCGCAACCAAAGAAAACATTCTCTGCACTCCAGCCTTCATCAGTCAGCTTGTGAAGAATCTGCAGAAAACCACCAAGGCAGATAGATACTAGAGTGGCATACATTTCATCGTGCGCAAAAATGCACTTGAAGCTACTGCAGGTGTTGTCACGAAAATACATTTTCATAAAACTTTATCAAAGATAGAACTGGAAGACGGCCACCAGTTATTTTGTTTTTACTACAAATTAGAGGGGGAAAACAGCTGAAACTCAAGCTTCCTACTCTCTCGCTGCTTTCTGTTCGGGCTGCTTAATCCTGCACTGGGTTCTTGAGATTCCAGAAACACCAGCAGCTTGATATACCTGCTTGCTGCTCATCAGTAGCGGTTTTCTTAATACAGTGCAGTGCCTGACAGAAACTTTTCTTAAGATGCCTTCATCTCAACGAACTTTCTGAAAAACAAATTTGTACAACTGCCTCAAAGTTTAGAGATCATGGATTCAAAATTGGGCACCGGCCTTCCGATGAGGAGTTTTCATGTTCTCCCAGTGCTTGCGTGGATTTTCTTCCTACATTTCCAAAAACATGCATGGTAGGTTAATTAAAAACTTGTCTGCAGGCGTGAATGTGATTGCTTGTCTGTCTAAGTGTCCTACGATTGGCATGTGACCAGTTCAGGGTGTGCCCCACCTCTTGCGTAAAGCCCACTAGGATTTAATTTTTTATATACTTTTCTGTCCTCAAAGGGAAATTTGTCATGGACACTCAACTGGTTCTGCAGTCTGCAATTGCAGCTTGTGATCAGAGCCGTTGCGCTCTATCTTTTATCGTTTTCATTATTCTCATTCGGAGTTTGTTTTGTGTACAATTCACCTAGGGCACGGGCAAAGAATAGAAATCTAGAGGTCCGAGGGAAGCACTTTAAAACGGTACGTGAGCCACGATAGTTAACAGGCTGCAAAAGTGCGTCGCATGCCTCCGTGTCAGGCTGTTGCTCATTATGGCATGCGTGTGTATGTGCGTGCGCGGTAACGGGTCAATCGTATCAATACCTCATCCACTGAACTGAGGTCAATGCCATCCCCTTGAATTATTCTCAGGTATGAAGGCAGCACCTTGTATCCTACAGAGTTCAGCAAACATCCAAAACACTCCTCCAAAATCTTGATGACCTAGAAGACACACAATTTTTAGTTAAACATCATTTATCTGCTATCAATAATGTGTCCTGCTGCAGGCTAAACAAGACTAAATAATCATTCAATGACCCCATTCAAAATATCAGCTATTGACTGACTAGCAATGTGACAGGATGTCACAAAAATGAGTCTGTTAAAATGGCCACTTCAAACTGAGTACAACGCAGAAAGACGTAAAAATCGGATGATGGGTTCCAGAGAAATTTGAGGGGTTTTTTGCAAGGGAAAAATGTGGAAAATGTTTGTGTGATATCACTGATAGATCGATTTAAAAAACTTTAAATGAGAATAAAACTGACTAACTTCATTCAATTTTCAACCTCTCTCTTCAACCCGTTCGTTTTGTCCTCTACTCGGGGCAGCGCTTCTCAGATTGGCTGACAAATTTAAAAATATCCACAAATAAGCTTATACGGGCCACAATTCTGAAGTGGTCTGCAAATGGATGCATCAAAATTACTGTGCCATTTCAAATGGCGTCACCTGCCATAAAAATCCACTTAAATAGTGCGAATGGTTATCAATGGTATGAAAGACAAGTGCGGACATATGAAGAGCACATGGATTTTTTGACTGAATGTATTTGTTATGGAGGATTTTAGGGGCCTGCGATTGGCTGGCAACCAGTTCAGGGTGTCTTCCGCCTAGTGCCCGAAGACAGCTGGGATAGGCTCCAGCATGTCCCGTGACCCTTGTGAGGAGGAACGGATCAGAAAATGGTTGGATTTTAGGGGCGGTAGAAGTGCTCACTCCGTGCCATACAAAAAAAAAAAAAAAAAAAAAAAAATCATCAAATGAAATATGGTAGCTACTTGTCATGTTGCTACTCTGACGAAAACATGCAATAAATAAATAAATACATTTTGAGACTGTCCACTTTGTTTTCTGTTTGATGGTAGGAATACGTGTACACAGCCAAACACCAGGCAAAAGGGCATTCATCTCGATTAAAACCGCAAATCAAATACATATAAAATAGAAAGGACACACAATTTTTTAACATTTGTTTGACAGTTGTTGAATTACTTTTTGTCAGTGTGTAAAAATGAATTATAAATCCAAATAAGGTGCAATTTGGTGGTAATTAGAGCTTTTTCAAACTTTGACAAACTGACCTAAAATTTCCTTGGTAAACTGAATGAATTTGGCAACATGCTCCTCGGTTGACCTCACAATGAATCTATCAAGCCAATTCCACAGTACAGGTTGCGGTCTGGTGACTGCACCACTCACGGAATTACAGACCAAATTCTTACCAGCTTCTTATTTGAATGATGGAACAGTGCTTCGGGCTTTCATACAATTGAAAGATAAGATAAGATAACCTTTATTTGTCCCGCACTGGGGAAATTTGCAGTTTACAGCAGCAAAATTGGCTGTGCTATTTACAATGGTTACAGGTTTTCACGCATGTTTATTCAGCAGTCTGACAGCAGATGGGCTTCAGCTCCAATAATATAATGTAAACAAGGTCAAATGGGAAACTTAACTTTAAGAAGCCCGCAATTTACATTTTACAAGTTTATTCATGCTTAGCGGATCATAAGGTTAAGCTCAGCCAATTGCAAACAGATATGAAATAACAAAAACTTAAAGCCACATAGAAAACAATGACAGGTATTCTCTGGTTAAATTACAAAATGTTCAAACTAACAAATACATTACCACACGCATATTCCATCACTACCCGGGAGTAGTTATTAGAATACTGATATCCTAAAATGATGATCCTAATGTGATCGCAACATGAGGAAGAACATTGACTCATGTACAGTCTGAGGAGGCGTCCATTTTAAAGCCCTTGTCTAATTTGCTGCTCTGTGGTTTTGTGGAGGACTTACAAAGAGCATATACTGGATGTCTGTGATGGTTAGTTTGGACATTTTTTTCAAAACCAGAAAAGACTGAACAGTATTTTTACATTGTGGGAGCTTACCAGTGAAGTACAAAGAGGCTACTATCGGATGCCTCTGAAAGATACCCGATTATTTTTTTCATCCCTGAGCAGTCCGGGCTGACAACTGTAAATGTTAAACTTGTTGAAACACACTTGCCAATTTTTACCTCGTTTTCAAAGTTGGTTGAGATATTATAAAAAAAAAAAACCAAAACAACAAAACTATATGCATGTATCTCACTTAACTCAAGATCCCGTTGAGTCTGCACAACCATGCATTTTCTCCAACACAACTAACTGACAATGCCATTAAGAATCCTGTCAGCCTCTCTTCATTTGTTCTGCATTCTCCTATGTGACCCCAAATTCTTGGTCTGCAGTGCATCCTGTAGAGCAGGGGGGCCCAACCTTTTTTGACCAAAGCTCTATTTTTTGATCAACCAGCCTCCCGCGATCGACCCGTGACCGCACACGCACGCACTTACTCACGCATGCCATAATGAGCAAGAGCCATAACGGCGGCTAAGATGAACGAGGCACGGGATGCACTTTTGCAGCGTGTTAACTTTAGTAGCTGACGTGTACAGTTTTAAAATGCTTCTCTCTGTCCTTCAGATTGCCATTGTTTGCCAGTTCCCTTGGTGAATTGGACATGAAACGCCATTTTTTTTTACACCAGCCACCTGCCTGGCATCCCACCCTGTTAATAGTAACGTGTGTCACAGGCTATGACGCAAATCTTAGTTGACAGAATTGTTGAATTGTAATATTTATTCGACATATTTTTACAGCATTGGAAAATGTTGAGAATATTTGTTCTCCTACAGAAACCATATTCAAACAAAAAATATATTTTCATGACCCCATCTTTTTCCATTTTCAAATATTTTAAAAAGCTCCAGGGAACCACTAGGCGGTGCTAAAGAGCTGCATGTGGCTCCGGAGCCGCGTGTTGCCGACCCCAGGCCTAACCTGATCTTATTATCACATCAAAAAAATGATATTTTTAACAACCGACATTTAAATCATGACATTTCACTATTAACTAAGACGATACAAAGAGCCTACTTGGGAAATATTGCGTCAAACCAGCTGCCTTATTTACCTCAATAAGAGTTTCTGCGGGGTCTCCAGAGTCAGGCCGGATCACGAGACACGAGTCCTGGCCACGTTCCATGACTCGTTCCTTCAGCTTGTCTCCCCAGATATGTTTGCAGGCATTGAAGATGTCATAGCTGTCACTGACCACAGAGACGGGCCCGGAAGAGAACTCATCCAACACTCGCTCAAATGCATCCTTCTCTCTACTTTTCCCCCAGGAGATGATCGTACTGGATGAAAAGGAAGAGCATTTTCCTCATTTTAGATGGCTTAACATTTGGAGATGACTCGGAAAAAAAAGAATACCAAACGGTAGTAAGAATGATTACATTATGCATATTAATGCAAACAAAACCAATTATTCATGATGTTCATTACCTGTGCAAGGCAGCAGCATTTATAACTAATTCGAGGAATGATTGTATTAATTACATGATGGTAAATATACTCATGCGCTTACTCAAGTGAGCCCACATTGTCCCCTTCGCAGTCTAGCATACGCAAATTCTCATATTTGCGGACTGAAACGTCGAAAAATAATTCAGAAAATCATGAAATACTGTCTACATAGGTTTATTTGTTGTACTGCTGAGTCTCCCCTGATTGCTGAGTTCAGACGGTCAGCCAGATCTAGTAAGAGTCCTGGTTGTTTGGAAGTCCTCCCATTGGCAGAGCACGGTGGCCACTGTGATCAGTGGAACATTCTTAGCAGCAAAATTTTCTTCTGTACTCTTGCCCAGATTTGTGGTTTGAGTCAAGACAGTCCTGTCTCGGAGGTCTACAGATAACCCCTTTGACTTCTATGTGACCTTGTATCGACAGGTTCCTTTCCATGTCATGTCTAATCAAGTAGGAAGTAGCGCTTGAGCTCAATTTTGAGCTTCGGAATACTTTAATACAAAGAACATGCAATTTCTTAGTTTTGTTTTTTTTATTTTTTTTTATACTTCATAAAGATTAAAAAAAAAAACAATTCCCACATTGTAATTATGAAGTGTTGTGTATTGAATTTTGTGAAGAAAAAAAATAATGGTGACACATGGGATAGGGTTAGGGTTAGGGTGTGAGGAATCATGCTGCACCCATGTCCACTTTGACCACAGTGCTGGCGCGAGAGAAGTGTACCATGATCATACGCATGCTCATCATATGGCTTGGCAAAGATTGGCTTGTGTGAATGCGTCCTTGAATGATTAATAGCTTTTATCAAATGTGATCACATTTTATGAAATTTTGCGTGTGTGTATGTGTGTGTGTGTGTGTGTGTGTGTGTGAGACATTTTAGGGATCTTAATATTGTCTAAATGCACTAGTACAGTGTATTTATTACATTCATTCTCACACGCCAATGAAGGTAAATACTGGATTAAAGTTGTTACCTTGACAAAGGTGTGTGGTACATGAAAAGAACTGTTACCCTGTGAGTATCTATATTATCGTGAGATACTAAAGTTACAGACAGCAGTTCTCAAGTTACCTATGCTCAGCTGCCGGAATGGAGAAACCAGCCATTGGACATCCGTAGTATCGCTGAGCCATTAGTAGTCCTGCTACTGTGTCAGTACTGCAGAAATTCACCAGATGAGCAGCTCCACCTAAAGCTGCAGACTGGATCGATGAAAGAAATAAGACAATTACTTACGTGGCTCTTCAAAATATGCAGCTACAGTTTACTGAGATGTTTTTTTTTAATGAGTCATCCTCTCTAGTTAATCATGCATTCTTTTGGTTATGCCTTTTGGTTCTGGAAGAGTATTGCTGGGCAGGAGGAAGTAGGGGAAACTGGTCCTCTTGTCAAAGTCAGCTATTAAGTTTATTGGGGATGTAACAGGACAGTGTTGTAGTAGTCAAGAGACCAAAACATTATTGAGATTAGAGAGAGTCAAGACCGAGATAGGATCAAGTCTTTTGGAGGTCGAGAACGAGATAAGATCAAGACTCTATACTGATATGTCAAAGAAAAAGTACCGGTACAAAAAAAAAAAAAAAAAAAAAAAGAACAAAATTACCAATAGTTCATTCATTTTCCGAACCGCTTGATCCTCACTCGGGTCGCGGGAGGTGCTGGAGCCTATCCCAGCTGTCTTCGGGCAGTAGGCGGGGGACACCCTGAATCGGTTGCCAGCCAATCGCAGGGCACACAGAGACGAACAACCATCCACGCTCACATTCACACCTAGGGACAATTCAGAGTGTTCAATCAGCCGACCATGCATGTTTTTGGAATGTGGGAGGAAACCGGAGTACCCCGAGAAAACCCACGCAGGCCCGGGGAGAACATGCAAACTCCACACAGGGAGGCCGGAGCTGGAATTGAACCCGGTACCTCTGCACCGTGAAGTCAACGTGCTAACCACTGGACTACCGGGCCGCCACCAATAGTTTCTTCCATTAATATTTAGATACAAGATATCCGATTGCAGGTGCTCATGCTAATGTCAATGTAAAATTCTACTGACATGCTAAAAAAAGATCAGCATCTACTTCCAGGAGTGATATTGCTTCAATTAAGCAATACTCACACACAAATGCTGTAGGAACACATACAGAAAGAAAAAAACTGAAAGACGTAGTCTTGCTAATCTGTGATATACGAGTTATATTAATCAAGCTCAAATGGAACTTTCTTCTTCTACTCTTATCTTTACGGAAAGTTGCTGCTCCATGCATGCAGGGTACCACACAACTAAGAGGCCACAGCTCATATCAGGAAAATATTTTTACTTGTAGTTTTGTTGTATTTATAGTTGCTATTACTTTAGTATATTATTACTTCATTTTGTTACTTTTTGTTGTTTTCAAGTTGAGTTTTATTTCAAGTTGAGTTTTCAAGGATTCAAGGAATATTTATTTTCATACCATCTCACATTTCCACATGATATGGCACAAAATACGATGCCCCAAGTCCCAGGTTAGCCCAAGAAGTCCCAAGACTTATGAAAATAACAACAGAACAGCAAAAAAAGTTAAATATGATAAAGCGATAAGGACGATTCATTTATTCATGGTTTGAATCTGTGCAAAGATGCAATACAGTAAAAGGTGTGGATGCAGCAGGATGAAAACGCAAGAGCTTGAACTGGACATGCTATTTGATATTTAAGTAATTTTGTGCTTGACAAGTTCAAGTATGAACAGTTCAATGTGCAGTGTTATGATAGTTTTGAGGAGTAGAGCTTTGGTAATTAATTATCGTAATTTCAATACCAATCAAAATAATCTAGATCACCCAGCCCTATTGCTCAGTTATTGTTGAAGGGATATAACAACAAGCTGCCAGGCCCAAGGCGTGAGCAGATGCAGACTTAGACTTCCGGGGCCTTCTAAAACCTTGAAGACCGGATCAGACATAGGGCAAAGACAACCATATGCCCAAAACACAGAGAAGAATTTAGCATTAAAAAAAAAAAAAAAAAAAAAAAAAAAAAAAAAAAAAACCTTGACAAAAGGGTTCTTTTTTTTTTGCACAAACCGGTACTAAAGTAAGTACGAAAACATTTTTACAAACAACCTATTGACAAACAGATTTGCTGACCTCCTGTGAGGAGACTCCTCTGTAGCCAAAGTCATGCAATTTCAGGTGAAGACCCTGAAGGCTTCCTGAGGTGGCCTTCAGATGTTTGGCTAGGATCTTCTTAAACTCTCTGGATATGGTAGCCACCGTGATGGGATACCACATCTGGACCAACATTGTCTAGAACCAACAATGAGAAGGTCTCATCAAATAGGATAGTTATGGGACAAATTAAAGCAGACAGCATAGGTGGATCCCAATTGCAAGTACATAAGATTTCAATTATGCCCTTAGAAAGGGGTCACCAACCTTGTTGAAACTGAGATATACTTCTTGGGTACTGAATAATGCGAAGGGCGACCAGTACTTCTGAAGTATATATATTTTTTTACATCAACTTTAATTATACCATAAATTCCGCGCTACAGACCGCACCTGATGAAGAGCCGCAAGCTCAGATTTATGAAGAAAAATCAATTTTGTAATTATATGCACCGCACCGTACTATAAACCGCTGGCCAATTAGTAGGAGGGGGTTTGCTTCTGCGTCCCTGCCGCCGGGAGCCTCCGGGTTAGGCCGCTGACGCGGTCCCCCACAGAAAAAAAACGCAACATTTCTTAAGGTTAAAATAATCTCCATATTTTTAAGAGCATGATAAATGCATTTGCACAACGAAATTACGCTGAAACACATAATAAGAGGCCAGACAAAGAGAGATCTCGCCGCTGAACCCCCGCAGAAAAAAAACGCAACATTTCTTAAGGTTAAACTAATGTCCATATTTTTTTGAGCATGATAAATGCATTTGCACAACGAAATTACGCTGAAACACATAACAAGAGGCCAGACAAAGAGAGATCTCGATGCGCATTTGTGTAATTACGAGAAATTCTGCAGCCCACTAGGCTTTAAATAGAATAATGCAAATCATATAAATGGGAAAAGATATATGAAATTATTTCTGTAGTCAGCCGCTTAAAAATGATCATCGTTGGCAGCTTTAGGCCCGATGCTGCGCGGCTCAAAACACAGGTAAAATGTGTTCTCTCGTGGCCGCTTGTTTTCAGTATGACGGGGGAAGTCACCTGTTTTATTTACAGTCCGAGTGAGGGGCAAATCAAATGTCTGAGGGTCTTCGTTCATATTTATTATTTCATCTGGGCTGATGGAATTCTCCGCTATCTTTGTTTGTGTGAATGTGCGGAACGAAGCAAGTTTGTCCTCGTAATTGGGAGGGAGCTGCTGACACAATGTTGTGCGTTGCCCTAATAGACTGGTTTCCATTTCATGAATCTATAACACCACGACGGCCCACCTTTAAAACCTTTGGTTGTCTTTTTACACTGGCTCAGTTATTCTTGCCGGAGCCTCCACCTCTGCACCATCGAATTGTCTATGGCAAGATTAGGCCAAACAAAAAAGATAGTGTGTTTCCGGTAACAATAAATTTCAGCATAGGGTCGGGAGTTCGGACAAAGTTTTTTTTGTTTAATCTTTTTTTTTTCCCATCAAAAATTTAAACAAAATAACCATAAAACAAGAAGACATTGAACCTGCCGCTGCGCGGCCGGCACCGCCGATTTAGTTTTCTCCACGCTCCGGACTCGGGGGGCCGGGGCACGCCGCCGCCGCCCTTCTCCGCCCTTCTCCGCCCTTCTCCGCCCTCGGTTTTTACTCAGCCCATGGTGTTCATCAAATAGTTCGCTTTATTTTTTCGATACATCAATGGATGCTATTTTCTTAACATTACGGTGCGAGCACACGACTGTAACACAAAAAACGCAGTTTAAACTGTCGTCGGAGATCTCGGCCGCCGCCATGTTTCAATGTTGTTGACAGACGACAGGGCAAACGATGGACGCGCTCAACGTGAATATAGCGAGAGTTTGCACCGATGGAAACCCTCTACACAAAAATGTAGAGGGTTGTTAGAAAAAAATGCCGACCGTAAAGTTTTTTTTCGACGTAGAAATTCTCGGTCGGTCGGGTTACCGGAAACACACTACTTTTTTTTTCTACGCCTTACGGGCAGCAGCTCGATTTCCTTCTTTAACTGCCAGAGTGATCGCTTTTAGTTTAGAAGCTGCATCATATGCTTTTTGTCTGGTATTCTCCATGTTGATCAGGGTTCGAAGAAAGACTGAAATAAGGAAGTTGTGATTACCGGTAATCATACAATTTCATTGGACCCCTGTGTACTACTCATTCATTTTATTGGTCGACTGTTGCCGAGAAACACATTTTTTCCCCCGCTACGGTAAAAAGAGCGGAAGTTGTGATTAGTCATACAATCTCATTGGAC